TGCCTGTTAAACATATCTGTATCTGGATGTTATAACAGGAGGACTCGGCCGATCCAAGGCCGGCAGAGCAGATAATCAATTAACTTGTTGAGCATCTTCTGCGTTACCGTGGTTACCAACACCTACAAGTTTTTTAAAGTAGTCCAACACCTCGATGTGCGCTGATGCTGCGTCTTTCCCTGGGTTTTTTTCCCTCCCTCCAGCAGTAAAGGAGCACATGCTGAAACAAACAGTTTGATATGAGAAAAGAGGCAAAGCAGTGCAGCTTAATTCCTCCTCTTAGAAAGAGTTCAATGTGCATCTATTTTAGGTTTTAGAGTTTTTCTGGTCCTTAAAAGGTTAACTTCCACCTCTGAGTTTCCCTCCAGGGGAGAGCAGCTCTGAGGAAATCTCAGATCAAATCACAGAACTTTACTTTCTCTTTCTCTGTGAATGTTGATGCCAAAACCAGTTTTCACATTCCTTTCTCCGACGCACGTTCACGAGAAAGCGAAATCCGTTGGTCCTGCAGTCAGACCTGTTTTTTACGTTACAGAAAGAGCCGCAGCATAGAGGCTCCTCGTACTCGGTGTCACCGCTGAGGACAGGTGACCCGGGTGTGGCCTGGCATGTGGCAGATGCCACAGCTGCGAGGCTTCTTTGCGGTGGGGGGTCTGTTGGCAGCGCCCTCTCCCATCGCCTTCCTCCCCTTCTTTCCTCCGTCTCCACCGGCGTTGAAGCCTCCACCAGAAGTTCCTTAGATAAGGAAACCAAAACCATGAATTCATTTATCACAACACAACTTTTCACTGCCGTTAGATCAAATCAGGGTTAATTGCAGTTTGTAGCTGAAAAGTGACTTAACATGAAAACATTTAAGGTGGTTTTATTAGGACTGGTTTAAGTTTCAGTTTTACTCACAGGGGGATTTTAGGTTCAACCGTTTGATCGTTTAAAACGATAGATGTGATTTAGATAAAGATCTATGTCAGATTAAAAACTGCTGCAGGTTAACTGCTGATAGAAACATGTGTGTGAGCCTTGCCTGGTGGAGGTGCGTTCTCATCGGCCCACTGAAAGAAGCCACATTGCTGGTCTCTGGGCTTCCCACAGGTGTGGAACATGCGGCCCTTGTTTGGGCCGTCCTTCTGCACTGTGCGGGTCACCGCCATGTCGTTACAGTTGCACATGGTCTGCCCCACATGTCCTGCTACGCCCGAATCGCTCCCTCTGTTGCCTCCTGAGAGGTTCCCGAACCCTAATGAGGGCCTTGAAGGCTGAGCGGCCCTCTGAGCGGCCAGCGGGGGCCCTCTGCTCTGCTGACTTGGCTGATCCGCCCACAGGAAAAAGTTGCAGGTGCCTGAGTTGCATTTGTAGAACTGACGCCCCTGGTTGGGACCGTCTTTACGCACAGTCAGGAGGAGAGCGTCCTGACCGCAGTTGCAGACGATGGCATCGCTGCTGCCGGCCGGTGGAGCTCTGGGCTCTGGGTTCCACGCAGGAACAGGAGGAAGGGAAGGGCGGGGGTTTGAGTTTGGGGCTTTGGGTGGCTGTGGTCTTGGGGGCCTTGGAGGATTATTTCCTCCTCCACCATTCCTTCCAGAAGCATCCCCTGGTCCCCGGCCTCCTCCTCCTCCTCCTCCTCCTCCTCTGAGATATTTGAGGTCCAGAACCTCTCTGAGCGTCTCGTCGCAGCCACCAATGCAGCCCACAAATTCCAGAGGCATCATGGGAGGCAGGGTGCCTCTGCGGAACTTAAACTTCAGCCTGAAAGAGATGCAAATTTAGGGAATTTAGAGCAGCCAGGCTAGCCTTTTGCCTTCTCCCTCCTATCAAGGAGAATAGCTGTCCTTAGCAGTGAAGCATACTTAGGCTGTGTCTGAATATCCACCCTAATCACTACATATAGGGCACTATATAGCGGCTACACCTATTTACATGAGTGTCCGAACGTCCAGTGGATGAAAAAGTAGTGGACTCAAAATTTCCCACAATGCACCTTAAAAGTAGTGATCATCCATAGTCACTGGATGATCCAAGAATCCCAGAATTGATTGTGAGAGCTTTCCTCGCAAAGCATTATGGCAGCGGCCTGACCATAAACTAACAAAGATGGCGCAGCCACCGCCCAGTGGAGGAGGAGGCATGTGACCGGGCAAGAAGCAGTGATCATCTGTCTGAATGGTCAGTTACCCGAGTTCAATATTAAGGCCACTATATAGTCCCCACTCTATATAGTGATTGAGGGACTCAGGGGTTAGGGTGGAAGTTTGGACACAGCCTTAGTCATTTATATCAAGAGATAACACCGTTTAGCTTATAGATGCTAATCTCTACTGACCTTTTATGTATCCCTCATTGTTGAAAAACTTAAACACAAACCAATTAATCAAAGAGTATCTGAAGAGTATATATCCTTCTGCAAAATTTCCTGATTAAATTTAGCGCTGGACTTTGACTGGGCCGTTCTAGTAAATGGATAATTAGCTTGGATCAAAAGGAATCCATGTTAGCTGTGGCTTAGGTTGAACCTCCGCCTCAGTTTAAAGTCACCTCAGCCTCAGGCAGGGTTTTCTCCCAGGGTTACTTTCTACAAGCCATCTTCCCAAAAACTTGGACTCTGTTTGTTTGCTGGAGAAAAAAATTCAGACAGCAGGATGCTGCTGGCGCCATGTTTAGCTTTAGGTTTAGTGTGTACTGTGTTTCTTTCAGTCATGGCACTAAGTTAAGATCAATATGTTAATTGTTGTTGTCATTAGACCACAGATATTGTGGTCTAATGTTTTTACTCGACAGACAGAGATTCTTCTTTTAGAAACTGCCGAGATCTTCACAGAACGTCTGGATTTACAGAAGAAGGTTCCTGTAGCTGTAGGTTTTTGGTTGAACTGGACTTTTTTGAGGCAAATTAGAGCAGACTGGTGTCAAACACAAATGCAGTCCACACTTTTCAGATTAATTTCTGGAAATAAAATATTTAAATGTATTTCTCTAAGGTACAGACACGGTTTAGTCCGGACACACGCTGCTGAAGATGAGGAATCATATTGCTTTCACAACTAAATACTGGAGCTCAACTTTGAGATCTGTACAGCCCGGTTGCTACGGTAACGTGAGCTGGTGTGGAGCTCTTTGGCGCCCTATATTTGGACCGAGCTGAGGCCAGTGCTCAGGGGGTTAACGCCTACTGGTGTAAACAAGAGTTTAAACGGATTTCTTGCACCAGCGAAGCAGCCAACGTTTATTGTCGTCGTTGCTGCTGAGAGGGAAATGAAGGTGCTCCATGCAAAAGTCCCTCCTAAGAGACTTCTCTGCAGCACATTAGCATAGTTCCTGTAGCCCAGGATCACGCCAAGAGGAAAACGATGATTCAAGCTGTATTTAGTCCGAAACATTAAGTCAGAAACGATCTAGCCTAGTTGGAGGCGGAATCACTAAAAATGTCCTTGATAGGAAACTTTTCAAAGTATTTGGATTAATATACAGAAAAAAAAGTAAAACTGATAAAGTGCAGTAAGATGGATTCGCCTAATGAATTTAAGGCCTGTAGATTCCAGAAATCTCCTAAACAGCTCTGTTAGACAACACGAAGTAGGCTTTCTGATATTACACTAAGAATCTGTCTACGACTCGTCCTGGAAGTCATAAAATAACTTACAAGAATATCTAAAGCCTCAGTTGAGCATCCATAGGCTACTTCAAAGATGATAAAAAAAACTGCAGAAGTAAACAACAAAAAGCCTAATCTAACTTTTGATTAAAAAACAAAACAAAACTAAAGATCTTGATCAGAGGTTTATTGATGGACTGACCCAGATTTTCCCATTTCTGAAAATCAGCCACTGGCAATGCCCTAAACTTTTTCTAAACAAAGTTTGTATTGTTTTGCAGGTATTGTTCAATGTTCTCCAGTAAAATAAAACTGAAAGATGAAAATGTGTTGTGACCTTTAACACTTGACAGCTTGAAAAAAAAAAAGGAGCCTCTGCCAAAATCAAAGCTGGCAGATCCGGCTTTCTAACCTGTTAAATGAACGTATATGGTGCTTCAAATTTGCAGCCTCTCGTTACTACAATAAGGCTACTATTTACTATAACGGCCCCTCCCCCATTGATTGACACCACATTTGACCAATCACGTTATGAAATGGGTTTGTGAGTGCCAACAACAGCCAGGGTGTCCCATAGCTGCCCTTAATGTGCCTCAATCTCCCTCCAGTGTTACTGACCCTCAACTTTGACACTATGGATAACCAATATTATATCTGACAAGTAGCCATATGGCATCTTGGGGTTTGTTCAGACATGAAACTACAATCTTTCTGTGTAATTAGTATGTCTCTGTTTAGTTAAGTTTTCTCACTGACGGACTGTCAGCAGGTTTCAAAACAGGATATGTTTCTTCAACAGAGTGACAAAAATGACTCATAAGAGTGGGTTTTAATTAATAAGGGGACTTTGTGGCATTAAATCCTCACAAAAGCTGATTATATTACGCATAACTTATTATTTTTAGTTCATCTTTGTATTATATATAATTTAGATGTAAATATAAATGAAATGATGCATTTGATTTGCACCGTTACACAGAAAATATCACTGTATGTCTACTTATTATGAGTGTGTGTGAATGCATTTCGATATCTGTGTTTTTATATACCGGTATGTTAATTTGCAAAAGTGAAGGGTGGTGCGGGGTGAGGTATCAATAGGGCTTTCATTAGTTGGTGGTTCTACTAAGTCTGCTTCACCTGATGAAAGAATAGGATGAGGAGGACAAAGGCTTAGAACTTCGTTTACTGATCAGGCTCAACAGAGACGTCTTGAAGGGATCAAATGATGCGACAGGCCGTCGGGCCAAGAGATACAGCGCAGGAGGCGGTGCAGTTTTTCACATTGTTTTTAACTTTTATTTTTTTCTCACTATGTAGTATCGTTCTAAAGTTACGAAACTTTGAAATCGATTTTTATACCCAGGAAAATATTTGATACATGAGGATAAAAAAGCGTTATAATCTGAGGCATAAAAAATTATAAATATTAACATTAAAAAAAAGTGTTTTCTCAAATAGAATCACAGATGCTCGTTAAACAAGTGTAAAAAATAATTAAAGCCCATTTAAAACACAGTTTGACAATATTTTGAGGTTGTTTGAGGTATTAATTTTAAAATAATCTAGATATATAAAATTAACAATAGCAAAAATACGCAAACATTTGCCTTCACCATTAATACCTTAACAAATTATTATTTTCTCCAGTGTTGATGAATCTAAAAACCCTACAAAGTAAAGTAGTGATTTTACTTCTTAATTAATGTTTATAGAAAAATAATAATCCAACTGTCCCACTGTCATTAATTTGTATATAGCAGGGGATTTCTCTGGGGTTCATATGTCAGAATCAGAATCAGAAATACTTTAATAATCCCAGAGGGAAATTACTTCTGTCATTAGGGCCAGCACTGATGACTGCATGTTGAATCTCTGAGGAGATGCAGCAATTCGACGTTTACTTCAGGGGTTGGTTTAGAGACTCCAATTGAAGCAGACACACAAAAAAATGTCAACAAAAGTCATTTTTGGTGCTATTTTGATCAAACTTGGAATATAATTACACGAGACTTCACTCAACCTTTTTATTTTATTTTTCCTGTCCATACATTAAAGCGTTAATGAGTAGATACATAAAAGAAAACATGAAAGCTCTAAGCTTTGGAACTTATGGTGTTAAAACACTTAAAAGCAGCATTGTCCTTACAGTTGAAGCAAATTTGACCGCGGAAATGAACAACTCAGCTTGTCATCTTCATGAAGAGACCAAGTTTGGTCACGTGATCCAAAGAAATAAAAAAGAACAGGAGCTGATTTTATTTGGGTGTGCTCTTTTAAAGGTTTTTGGTGAGAAGGAGCAGAAAACTACAACTGGTGAAACCAAAGAAGGTGGTCCTGAAGGTCCTGAAGACTGGAAAAAATACTCCCATAAGAAATCTAAAGGTTTGAGTCTAATTACATCCAGCTTAAAACTAAGCCAACAAAGTAGGGCGTTAGGCGGGACTCTAAATATCCTGACTGAAAATATCCGACCATCTGTTTATGACCTTCAGCTCAAACTTGGGTTACAGAACAGAACAGTGATCCAAGGCTCTGCAAGTCAATTTAATAAGTATAAAAAAAAAAATAAAAAAAAAGAAATTAAATTTTAGAGCTGTAAATATACAGTTACATTTTTATATTACTGTTTTTATGTATTTTTTTTTACTGTTTTTAAGGCTGCACTTTAAAAAAATTAAATTGACAAAATAAATCTGTCTAAGTCCACTTCTGAACTGCTTTAGAAAAAGGTTTCAGAATGGCCTAGTCAAAGCCTAGACTTTAATCCAACTAGATTCCTGTGACTTGCTGTTTAACAGGCTCCTTCCAACAGGATGTGCAATCATTGGTGGTAAAGCTCATGATGGCACATGTTGCCCACATGCATGGTTAGTTTATTCAACACAAAATTAAACAGAAAAACTGATTTTAAGTCAGTTTAGATTTAAGATTTTCCGATGACATTTAAATGTAGTAAAATTAGTAAAGGGGGTATTTATAAGGAACCTATCTAGTGGACATGTGATTACTTTTGAATAATTCGCCCACTTATATCATCATGACCTCTACTGACCAGACGTCCAGTCAGATCACTACTCCCACTAGTATCTACTGACAGTCATCAAGTTATTATCCAAAAGCTTGTTCAGAGTGAAGGTTAGGACCTTTACTGCAGGCAAACTGTGGAGCAGAATTACAAAGGCTCATCCAGGCTGATATCGATGTCTGGATTTCTTTAAATCTTTGTCCTTTCATGGAGGACAGGGGTTTTAGTTTTGAATCATTAATGTTTCACTTAATCAGGGAAAATGCTGATTCTGATCTCTAATAGATGACTTTGACTATGTCTACCGTAATCTGCTCGCATATTTAGTTTATTTTATGTATTCGAAAATGAAAAAGAACCTGGACTTCCCTGGCTGTAGGGGATTTAGTCCAACATGGAGCCAGGTTGCTCAGGGACATCCCCATGTTACACAAATAAACCATCTCGCTTTACCCTCTGCTGTAGAACGACGGAAAAACAGCACCCAGAAAACCCCCTTCATGTTTTGGACATTGAAAACAATCGAGAGACAGATCTAATCATTAAAAACAACTTTCTAAAAATAAAGACATAAAGTTCAGCAGTGTGTCAATACTCACATGTGGATGGGGCTTGGCTGACATGTGGGACAAACGCTGTCATCCCTGCTGACCTCTAGCACCATGTCTGGGAACCACACTGCTGTCTTGCAGCTTGGGTAGCCAACACAGCTCAGGAACTTACTGCAGGTAGAGAAACAGAGGAGCTAGGACTGATAAGAAGCTCACCTATCAATGGATCATGATCCATCTATTCAGATATTTACTCCAGGTCATTTAAAATCCAAACACACTTTTCTAATTTCCTTAAATTTATACTGAAAAGCAACAAAAAACCTGTTTATTTTTCATCACGGTTTGATAAGAACAAAGGTTTTGTTGGTGTTTATATTCATGAGCTGCAATGTTTTCGATGCTTTGCTGCAGATAGTAAAACATCCAGTTAGCTAAACCTGATAACCATTTTTATTTTTGTTAATTGCAGTGATAAAATAGATAAATAAACAAACAGTTAAAAGCTGCATCGACAGTTCAGGCTTGTTCAATTTTCCCTAAAAATTTCTTTTTTTATTTGAAGTGTTTAGGAGTCAGGTGGTGAAAGGTTCAGGTATCTTTTATTTGCTTAGGAAAAAACAAAACAGATCAATTTATTGAACGATTGTTAATCAAGTTCATTAAACAAAAATGTGCTGGATTATCCATTTCGTGGATTTCAGCAACAAACTCTGATAGGTTTTATATCGTAGAGATCACAGAAAACAGGTTTGTGGCCATAGGGACAGGATAGTGACTGAAAAGTATGACATGTATTTAGAATCACCCCTGCACTCTGAATATAAGTATAACCAGTTGCTATATGCCTGTTAAAAAGAACTAACTGAGTGAAACTGAGCTTTTTTGACCTAAATGTAAAATTCTTCTTTTAAAAATCACTCTTCCACAGCACTCTGAGCACAAACCACCGTAAAACATGGTGGTGGCAGCATCATGCTTTGGAGATGCTCTGTTTCAGCATCCAAGAACCCAAAACTGGAGGCGGGATTGAAAGGTTGACAACCTCAGAGGTTAAATGTTAAGCTTTCTGGATGGGAAGCGAAACGTCTTCAAACTTAGAAAACAAAGTCCAGTGATTTGTTTTTTTACTTTTTTTTTGTAAAAGGTTGAAGTAATGCATAATATTTATGTGCTGTAAAGGCTAACTTCTTTCCTTTAGATTAGAATCAGGCAAGTTTAAGAAAAATTGGTTAAAACTAGGTGCAATTTATATCACCAGAGATCAGATTTTGTCATATGACAAAATCAGAGTTGAGAACATCCCAGTGCTACATATTTAACGCGTTTTTTCATCGTTAATGTGTTATTTATTTAATTAGGTGTATTTTCTTTTTCTCTTTTGAGGCCATGTGAGTTAGAGAGCAATTGTATTTAAGGGATGTAGTGAACTTAGTTTGTCTGATTTTGTTGAGACTACTTGATGGATGCACAAAAATGAAGGAAAACATTAAATAAAGAGTGAAAAAATAAACACTTAAAATTAGAGAAGAGGTTCAACTTCTAGGAGGTAAAAGGCACTAAAAATACAGCCAGAGGTACAGCGGAATGGTTTGGACCAAAGAAAATTCCTGTTTTAAAGTGGCCTAGTCAAAGTCCAGACCCCCAACTTATCAAGAATCCCTGGCAAGACTAAAATATTATGTTTATAGATTGTACTTCTACAATTTGACTGAGCTCCAGCTATTTGGCAGATTTTGGTTTGTAGCTCTGGAAAGCTGATAGAGACCAACTCCCAGACCTCCAGCTGCAGTTAAAGGTGCTTCTACATTTGGCAGTAGGAATGATTCAGACAGGCTGAATGAAGATTTTCTATTATTAGTTTGTAAATATTCTCATAAGTCATAATAATCAGTTTGCATCATCTTTGTTTTATTAATGTCATCTAATCTTGTGTTGATCCATCACGTCACATCCCATTAAAATACACTTAAGTAGCAAAGCAGGAAAATGTGGAAAGATATATTTATGTATGCTTTTAAAAAAAGTTAGAACCTAAGCAGACGTAAAACTCTGTAAGTAAATAAATCTGCTGCCTATGGAGGAAGATTGATAAATAGGAAGATAAGTTAAGGTTGAGTGTCAAACGGGTTAGCTGGTCCTGTTATTTCTCCGCTCTCACCTGTTGCCCTCCCTCTTCTTCTTCAGCACCATGTCCCGACCACAGTTAGGACACTTCCTCACCGGCAGCGGGATCTCCATGTCCTGCTGCTCCACTTCAGGGATCTCATGAGCTGCACCCAGGTACGGCGACAGGGCTTCATCTAACCTGAGGCGACAACAGGAATGACTCATCGGTAGAAGGATGCTGATCTACTCCACTGCTTCATATTTTCAGATCAGTAATGAGATCATAATAGACTTTGTGGAACTAACTTCTTTGCTTTCCTCACAGACTCTATGAAGACCGTTTTGTATTTCTGGATGTGATGCTGCAGCACGCTCTGCTTGTCCTTCCTGCCCTCAGACACCAGCTTGAGGTCGGCCTCCAGTTCGGCGCGGAGGTTGGGTTTTGACATCTCGTAGCCCATGGAGTTATAGCCTGAACTCAGAAAGCCCACATGATGTAACAGTTTTCACAGCAGACTGACATCTTACACTGGAAATGTGTGAGCAGCTACCTTCCACTAGCCCCATGCCGAGCTCTCCAGGGAGAAACCTCTGGTCTGCAGTTAAACCCACATACATGCGACTCTTAATGGTCTCGATATGATCCGCGTGGGTGGCGTCGGTACCTGTAATGCACCATATTGTATATAAAATATATATAAACTATCAAAGAAGATGACTGCTATGTTGATTCAGTAAATGTAGCTGCTTTTAAGTCCAGGATTTCAATTCCTTGTATGTTTTTTTCCAACCTTAGTAAGGTCCCATGTTAGAATCCTTAAAGGGGAATTTCGTTTTTTTTTTTTTTTTATTTGGCCCTTGATTTTATGTTATTACATCATGTTCTACTCACCCATAAGAGTTTTGTGTCATTTTGAGGTGTTCTGAAGATATTCCGTCACGTAACGTCTTCCTATGGGCAACGACATGAAGGCACAAACTAAACTGTTCATAATGTGTTCTTCATAGTACGCCAGCATTCATAACATGTAGGCAAATCACTGTCTCCCAGACATCCGCGGTTTATTATTATTATTTTTTTTTAAACATTATTTAACCAATGTACATTACAACAGGTGGCTACGCTACCCTTCTATTCATTCGGCTAGCTAATCTGAATCGTTCAATTACATTTGGAGAGCGAGATCATCTGTGGTAGTAGCACTAGACATCCTCCAGGCATGTGAGTAAAACTAGCAGCAGTTCAGCGGACAGGAAGAATGAATGGTAGCCGGCGCACGCGGATGATGTCATATACGTGCCGCTTTGCTTTTAAAAAATAGAAATATAAAAAATATAACCGCAGATGTCTGGGGGACAGTGATTCGCCTACATGTTATCAAAGCTGGCGTTCCATAAATGATAAAATATGAATCGTTTAGTTTGTGCCTTCAAGTCGTTGCCCATAGGAAGATGTTACTCTGATATAACCTATACCGGAATATCTTCAGAACGGCTCCAAATGACACAAAACTCATATGGATGAGTAGAACATGATGTAATAAGGTAAAATCAAGAGCCCAATGTAAAAAAAACGTCGTTCCCCTTTCATGTTTAGCGGTGTCTCTTTACTAGACAGAGCCACAGACTGAGCTGTAGCTGCAAATAACTCTGGGTACTTTTCTTTTTCCCATTTAGTAGGAAATACCCTGGGATTTTACCATAATATATACTTTTTAGAAAACATAGCTTGCCAACATCAGTGTGTGCATTAATGGATGAGTGACTGACTGTAGTGTAAAGCGCTTTGGTAAAGTTTTCTGACTTGAAAAAGCACTATATGAGTACAGGCCATTTAAGATGGAATAATGAGCTATTTCTGTTCTATTTCACATTGTTTCTATGAAGGAAGCCTGAAAATGTCCTTGGTCCTAATAAAGTGATCAAATTCAATGTCTGCTGTATTAGATGGCTTGTTTTCTCCGGGTATTTGCCGGTCACACTTATCGATGCTTAGTTGGCAAAGTTTGCACACATCTACTTGTTTTGATTCTCAGTATGTCATCTTGTTTGTACACTCTTGAACCCAACAATACACAACCAGCAGTTCATTTATGAGGAAAACTTTATCTGAAAGCAGCGACCGGGCTCTTTATATTATCACAATGCTGCCGTTGTGCTGCAGTGGACCAGACATGACATCACGTGTGGCAGCTTTCAACTCTATCTTCAGTTTCTACACTACATGTATTTAAAAAAAAAAGTATACACATTACTAAATGTAAATTTCCAGTTTTTAATAATTTAGAAACATCCAATCTCGAGGTATTGATACAACACTTGACCAGGTTTTTTATGGCAGATATTTCTACAGTGGTGAGGCTTTAAGTAAAACCCAAAGACTCTAAGGATTTGGAGAAAAATAAAAAAATGTATTTTTGTCTGTACTTTGTGAGACCAAGAAACTACTTTTAATCAAATAAAGCTCGGTTTAGTAGTGTTTCTTTCTTTAATAAACCCACTGAATGCGTTATTTGCTCCATAACTTTATAAGCATGCTTGCTGTTCTTTTCTATAGAAAGTATGCCTGCCATGTGTTCATGTTTAACTGTGTCTCCTATAAAAAGGTAGTCTGAATGTTTTTCCTTCTAACAGAAAGTGGTCCAAGTACTTTCAGGATCTGTTTAGCAGTTTTTCTTTCCACAACAAAGTCACTGATGGAATTATTGCATCTACGAACTATGTGTAATTGATCTTGTATGTTTAACCGTGTCTCTTTTCTTGTTAATGTAATTATTGCAGCTGTAAAGCAAAAGTTATCTCTTTGTTTTGTAAATAAAATACTACCAAACCCTGCTTTTGTGTTCAGACTTTCCCTGACAAACATTACTAGAGCTACTGTGTCCTCTTTGTTTCTATGGAAAGTACAACTGTCTCAGTACTTCTGCGTATTTCCTGGACCGAGCCATTGTTGGAGCTATTCCTGTTATTCTTTGTTCTTCTGTCCCTCAGAGATTAACCATTTGTGGAATTTATAGGGTTCTGTGCTCTCACTTGTCTATATTTTCTTAACTCGTAATATTTAGAAAACCCTTTGTCTCACAGTTTATTCTGGTTGCTTCATACTGGCTTTTTAGGGGCTTAAATGTATGTTTTTAATTTTATAATTTTTTTAAACTACAATGAAATTGTGACAGAGGAAACAATAAGTCCCAAATTAAAAAAACACATCAAGATTTAAGCAAAGTATTTATAACTGCAAACCACACAAATTTTTGCCTTTGAGCTTTAAAGTTTACCAATGCCGTGCTTTTCCATCAGAGATATGAGGTCGGCTTCTGTGAGCAGCTGAGGCGGACTCGTCTGTCCGTCCACCATCTCAATAGCAGAGGGCTGGAACTGGGAGCCCTGCTCATACACTGGTATCAACTAAAAACACACATTTTCCAGATTCAGCCAAATGCAAGAGGAAGTTACTAATAATGAATCATCAGGATTTTCAACACTAAAAACCTGAATAGTTATAACATCATCAAAGGTAATACGTACCTTTGTACTCCACCGCTCGTACGGATAAACATCCAGGTAATTCCTTGCAATAATCATCAGTCCAGATGCGGAGAACTTTTCTTGAGCAATTTCTATGTCCACCACTGTTTCCTGTCCCAAAGCATCCTGGGATACGCAAGCCAGGAAGTGCCTGACTATGAACTCATAGACGCGTCCTTCGTTACCCTGAAAAAAGGACACAATCAAGATTTCTACACATATTAGAATAGAAAGAAATCTCCCTGTTTTTCCCTTTCTGGACATCGGAGTGCTAAACATTTACCTAGATGAGAACATTTGATTTAACAAAGATCTATGCTATCTGAACCTTCATTAATTCCATATTCCATTTATAGAAAAAGTTATTCATTTAGTACTTTTAATTAATTTAGTCTGCTTTGAAAATCTGATTATTATTTGTTTTTTATTTATCCTCTGGTTTAGATGAAAAATAAAAGGTATAGCTTAGATTAGCAGTGTCGATAAATTCGTAACGAGAACCATCAATGGCTTAGATTGTGTGAATAACTTTTCAGCAATCCCTTATATTGAACATAACAGCTTGTTATACTTTTTATTTGTAAATGAAGAGCAAATAAGCATGAAAGAATACTAGTGTTTTTAATTACTTAAAAACAACCTACACTATTACTTAAAGGCACACCGCAGACTTTGTAACCTAAAGAGTTGATGCATATGAGTTATTTTAAATGATTCCTCAGGCCAATATACAGCGTTTGACACCATCAATGCTACAAGCTGGGTTCCCCTCTAGAAATACCACCTATGTATGCTGGGAGAAGACGCACTGTCATTGGCCAGGTCATGTGACCTGGAAGAACATATGGCTTTACGGTCACAGGCTCCTATATAGTCATGAAGCAAAGGCTTTTGCTCTACTGTTTTTCTGCCTGCTGGACTACTGGTCATGGCTGAGGCAAGCAAAAACTTTAAACCTCCTGAGGAGGCTTTGCTCCTATTATACAGTCATATATCTGTTATTATTTTCGATGGATAGTAGAAGCAAAATCAGGCAGAGAAAGCTAGCAGGCTACTAACAACAGCTAACTGAGACGCCCAAGCTCAGTCGCTGGTCCTCCGCATAGCGTGGACCGGCCTGTCCTGGCAGTGCTCTCTAAAGAACAGCAGTGTTTCTTATGCCCTCTGAGCTGAACCTAGAAGCCTAAAGTGGTCCCCAAATAAAAGACATGGCAAGCTGAGTGTTTTTGGCCTTTTGCGACAGTGCTGCGGCGCTTGTGGCTGCAAGGATAGCTAGACGTGAAAGCTACACTTCTTGTGCCCCTAGTGGCCAAAAGTTACACAATGTGCCTTTAAGAAGCACTGACTGGATTACTACTATCACTTTTTTAGTTCAAACAACAAAAGAAAGAAGGAAAACAAAGCATTTGTGATGAAACCCACCTGCAGCGTGTTGGTGTACTTGGTGGGGTGTATTGGGGGGTGGGCCTGGTCAGAGTTCTTCCCCTGCCGTGGGTTAGGGCCCCCAGGCTGCTCCAGCACCCGTTGGGCGAAGGTCCCCCACTCTGGACTCTGTGCCTGCTGCTCCACCAGGGGGGTGAGGGGAAGATTGGCAGGAAATATGTTTGTTTCTGTGCGAGGGTAGCTGATGAACCTAAGCAGGAAAACAAATGCAGTGTCAAGTCTTATTTACACAGAGACATGATGCTCTGCAAAACACCAGATGGTCTCTGCACGTCCATCAAGCAGGTGAGGAAAACACAGATATCTGACTCTGTGTGGACTGAGTCAGAGAGACGTAAATTCAAATCAAAGAGTTAGAGGCTAAGACAACAGTCTCCTCTCTAAGAGGCAGCACAGAAACGTCTCACCCACCCTTGGGTATAAAGCTTTTCAGCAATCTTCATAGTTTCTTTGGCATTTATTCTCAGCTTCCTAGACGCCAGTTTCTCCAGTTCCTGCCGGTCAAATAAAAAGAGAACATTTTGCAATAAAAGGTAAACTTTTTTTTTTTCACCCACTGCATTAAATGCATTTTGCACCATGAGCAAATGAGTGTTTATACAGCAGCTTCTATCACACATTTCTCACCACAGTGTCCAAAGGCAGCGGTCTCCATTTGCTCTTGGGTTTGCTTGTTACTGAGGTGACTGTTGCTATGGGATTCTGGAAATAAATGATAATACATTCTGCTTTCACATCTTACTTTTAAAACCATTTCTATTCACACAAATCAACCAACATTGACTGAACCGACCACGGCGTGTTGTCAGCAGCAAGAGCCGGACCCCTTGGATCAGACCCCCACCCCCCCACGCAAACACACAGGAGGAGGACTACAGGCATCAGTTTAATGACTGCTGATAAAAGGAGCTTTTGGACATTAAATAAAATCAGTCATTTGTAGAAACCTAAATATTTTACAACTTATTTTTAAGGTTAAAAATTGCTTAATGACTAAACAGCTTCATCAGTGAGGCAACTCATTCCAATCAGATTTGGATGGATACTGGTACAGAGCAGTGTTTGATATCTGAATATAAATATATATATAATATGATTATTATAATATATAAAATAATTATAATATATAATATTTCTATTAGCACTAACATATCAATAATGGTACAGGTGGATAAACACTAGAGAAAAGATGTTATTCAGGACATCCAAAAGTTAATATAAAAGACAGTACAGGTCACAGACCAGGGGCAAGCTTGATGCAGCATTGGCATGGTTCATGTCTTAGACATTGATAAGTCTGGGTAAAGGGGTCTGCAACCTTTAAAATCCAAAAAGTCCGGCTAAGCAAAAGTCAACGAGAGCCGCAGTTATTAAATAACATTTCAATAAAACCCAGCTTATCGCCGTTAAATATCTGATATAGGAAATCAGATGAATAACCAACTATTTATCTGTATTTTTAGCATTAAAACTAGGAAAGGAAGACTATAGTGTTTCATAAAGATGAAGCAGGGTTTTATTTGATGCATTAAACCAAAAAAAAGAAAAAGAAAAACTACACAGAATTTACAAGTTAATGATGAACAAAACAGATCTAAAAACATATTTTTGGTTCTTTTAATCTCATTTTGTCATGTAGGGCTGAAAAAATT